CCGGCGTGTTTTCCGTTGAGCAGCGCTTTCCTCTCCCTCGGGTGTTTTCTTGGTGAGACCGCGGAGACCGAGAAGTCCCAGAAGGGACTAAGTGCTGCCCACTGCATACATGTGCATCAGTGAGAAATGTTTCTCGCCGGGCTTTCCACGTAGGTTTTCGGAATGGAAATGTGATTTGTAAAGTGTTGGCAACATCTAAAGTTTATCACGTTTATGTTATTGACAAAAGTACGGCATGTTCAAGGTAACATCCCACCAAATAAAGTGCTGTTCTGAGATGGCACAGACTTAGAAAGTATGTTGGCCAGGCTGGTCACAGTCATCTTGCCTTATCTGTAGTGTTTGTGAATGCTCTACAGGAAATTCCACGTTACAGGTCTTAGTAAGCACTACAAGTGATACAGACAAAGCAATAGTATACAGCAACACAATATGTGTATCCACCTATTTGGGACTGCTCATAAAGCTAACCACAGAGCTTTGTAAAACAGCTGCTCCTACAGGCGTGAGAGTAGAGATGTAGACTGTACTGTCAGCCCTCTATGAAATCCTCTGTGAAAGCTAGTTAGTAGAGGCTACTTTTACCAAAAGTTTGGTACTAGCAGCAAGAACACATCTCTGGAAGAGCAGAGCAGTATGTTCAGTATCAAAGATCTTGTGCATCATCACAGATGTTACCACCTTGTCTCTAAAATCTCAAGCATCAGTGAGAGCAAGCTGGTATGGAGAGAAAGGGGAAAAAAAATTCCCTGTTTTCAAGCCAGATTGATGGTGACCACGTAGAGGATCCATCTCAGGGATAAAACCACTAAACTGATGCATTTTATTTGTCAGATTCCTAAACCTGTCAACTGTAACAGTGCTACATTTTTTACACAAGAATACTATAATAAGGACAAAAATGGGGTCTACAAATTTTTATAAGCCTTAAGCACCTATAAATTAGTAAGTACCTAAATCCTCCACTGAAATTTAACATTAGAAGAACTGGCGTTAGACAAGGTAGCAGAGACTCAGTTAAACACAAGTGAAAACAAAAGGTGCAAGGTTCTCTGAGACAACAAGGTAAGAGCAAGGGAGACTGCAGTGGGAGAGAGTTGCCAGTTCTCAGAAATCTTCAGAAATTATGCAAATTGAGATGTGGAATGAACAGTATGACACTGAGTAAAGAAGATAGTACTTAAAAGGAGAGCTCTTGAATACTAGGCCAAAGAAATATTGGAAGAAACAAGAGAGCAGGCAGACCACTGTTAGGGGAGATAAATTAATCCATACAGAATACTTAGTGAATGAAGTACTGCTATAATAAAACAATTCTGAGTCAGATTTCACATGATGAAAACCCTGTGTGGAAATTTCAATAAAAAGAAGTAAGCAAGCTCAAAGCAAATATGGGAAAGTGCTGATAAGGGAGATTCAACCGAAAGACAGAATGTTTTTTAAAATGTCCTTTTTGAGCCCAGTCTTATCCCAGTACCACCTAGTTCACTGACCTTGAGCAGCTGGCTGCTAAGTAGCATGGCCCAACTGGATGGTAGTTGTGTGTGTCATAGTTAAGAAACAGCAAGTAATTTTGCATCATGAGATTGTCACATAAAAGCATATATGTCTTTATGTGAATTTCTAGGACAGATACATGACTTCAAAGTAGCATTGAGCTGGAACAAAGGTAAGATCAGCCACTGATGTTCACTGTCCTGCTCATTGCTACCGTAATTGATGGCATCCATCCAAAGAAAGTCTATGAAACCTTGATGCCGACTGTGTTGCTGATACTATTGTAGTCCATAATGTCTTCGGAGAGCTGCAAACTCAGAGAGACAGTCTTGTCTGGTAAAACAGCTGTCCAGGCAGGCTTAACATCAGTTGTGTCAAAATGTATACCTGCAGCTGCCTGTAGAGGTACTTTACAGAAAACAAACACAAACAACAACCCACCAGTGCATGAACAACAGAGAAATCAACCTTAATACTAGAGAACAATTGAAAGCTGCAACAAAGTTTGGCTTTTTTCACAGTAATTGATGTTTAATGATTCTAGCTTTGTTTCCTCAGTTCTCTGTGATAAAACAAGGATAACAGTATTTTCTGTTTACAGATAAGGATACTTTTGTGGGAAACATTACAGTTGTATGAATTTAGTATAAAGTGCAAAGCTTCATAGGATACTGTAAAAGAAACAATAGCACTTCAGCAAAAGGATGAAAACAGTATGGAACACATGCATCATGAATGAGGCAGAAGTCCTATGGAAAACAGCATTTATGTTCTTGCACTTAAAATGACTATCTTAACCATATACATAAAAGAACCACATAAAAATTGAGTGCATAGCTCTAATTTTTATTTCCTAACTTCTGAATCCTTAATTTCACAACTTCAGTGGTCTTGTTACACATGATGTTGGTTTCTTTGGATGTAATAAGAATACAGTTAGGGCTGCTCTAATTTTTATATGTCAATAACTGTAGCTGTGCATCTCCTTCAAACTATGGCTCATGTCTTGCGGTCTTATTTTATTATAGTCCCTGAGAATAAAATCGTCTTCCTTCTTGGTCCTTGTCTAGAAATTAAACATTTAGGTTCTGTTATAGTGCCAACTTTTTCACCTCTGGCTTTTGAGAATTTTATGAGCAGAGGTTTGGTGATGCTTGTGTAAAACCTATTCCTTTGGTGGTATAGAGTATGCTATCCTGCGGATATTTTATCTTTTTTTTTGAATTAGGTAAGTATTCTATTGAGGTAACGGTTGTTAAATAACACTTTGTAGTTCTTACATTATTGCATTGGCTGCTGAACACTTCAAACTATAGGAAGCTTTTTTAGAAAATGATGTGTTTTATATAGCCATGACGAAATAGCAAGCAGAGTGGTTCAAGTAAGTCTTCCACTCATGCATTAAGTATGATTTCAAACTGTGACTGTGTCAATGGGTTGGATCAAAATGGATTTTAATTTGAAAATAAAAGGTTCTCTGCTAATGCAAAGCCAATGAATCAAACTTCAAGTTCTTCTTATTTTCAGAAACTGTTTGGGTAATTAAATAATGAGATGGATAGTGGAAAACAGGAACAAATTTCTGCGAAGTCTTAACACTTTATGACTGGCTTGGATTTTCCATTTGAGGCAACTTGTCCCTGCAGTATTTTATTGCCTCACAATCTTGCTTGTATTACTTATATTATTGGTGTAAAAAATGAGTGAGGTAGGAATGTTATTGGAATATGATTTTATTATCAGGAGTGTTGTTATTTTCTTTTTCCTTTTTTTTTTTTTTTTTACAGATGGGGAACTGAGGCATAGAAAGAGTAAGAATTTGGCAGATGAATGGAGTATTGTAGAATACATGTAGGGTGTGATCTTGCAGCATGAACTGGTTGCTCTTAGGCTGTTTATTTTTATTAGTGCACAGTAGCTTACAAAGTCTCTTCTTCATACGGTGGGATATGGATATATCATGCTTATACATAGGAATCAATATTATTTCTAGATTAGTTCTGGTTAGAAAGATGTTATGCTACCTAAATAATAGAAAGCAAGACAATAACATTTCAGGAGCTGTACACTCATTTGTTTTACAAGGAAAAGATAGTTGCTTGTTGAACAGCTATCAGAGAGCAGCCAGTTTGCTGTAGGTTCATGTCCTTGCTCCCTTTGCAGTAACTGATAGTCTTTGCTTACTCAGGAGACTTCTCCAAAAGAAATGAACCCCTGTCAGTTCACTCTAGTCAGTGTTCAGTCTCCTCAAAGTTAACCTCCCCACGTTTGGAAGACTACAGCACTAAAAAAAAATAAAAGCCTATGATAATCTGTGATATTTTAGGAAAAGCCCTGCCTCTTGAGCCCTCAGTTTGAAATAACCAGTACGAGTCATTTGCCAGATGTGCCTTATTCCAAAGGATTGCAGCTTTTTTCTTATTTGTGGGATGTAAAAGTTTGCACAGGAGCTGGCCATTTCTCTGGATTTATGAAGCTTGAGCTTAGAAAAAGGTTGATGCAGCACATTCACACGTAAAACTGCATATCTGCTGTTGGACCTAAGTCAGAGGTCACAGATGGACTGTGTAGTTAATGTATATGTTCAAAATTTGACTGTCGGGGACTGTAGAGGCCTCTGGTCTTACTTAGACCCTCTCTGCACTTAGGGCTTCCAGCTTCCTAAATCCTGGCAAAAGCTGTGGAAAAAATATTCTAAAAATAAAGCTAAAAAAATCTAGGTAACGTTTCCAGTGATTGTCATCTATACATGCATATGGGTAGAACTCTTGAGCTGAAAATGCGTATGGCTTATTCTGCATTCTCAGATATACAGATATACATTCTCAGATATTCTGCTTTGCTCAGATATACACACAGACTGGTCCAGCCCAGTTTGCAGAAGATACTGCTAAGTCTGGCCTTGAAACTACCACCAATATTTTCTTGTTTTGTTTTATTTGTTTGTTTTTTGTTTTTTTTTTTAATTTCATTAGGTCTTTACCGTAGACAGGTGTCACATCTTTTTTTTTTTTTTTTTAATGCCTTTAGCTGAAAAAGGTGAGTATGGTAGCTTTTTAAGAAATAATGATGCAAGATGCTCTTTGCTTGTTACTTCAGACACTGAGCGAAGACTATTTCTTTTCCAGGCTGAAATCTTGTACCCATTTATGTTGATCTGTAATTTCATATATAGTCCCCTTGAAATAATTGGATTACTGATAAAATAAAATAAAATAAAATGCAGCCTGAATAGGAATAATATGATGTAATGCCAACATAAAGCTGTGCAGTATGACATATGTAAATGGTTAAGAGGTATTTTGGTTATCTGGTAATTATTCATGTTTGCACATCAGATGCATATTTTAATATAAACAGGTTCAGAGGGGAAAACAACAGCAGTATGGAACAGTGTTTATAGACCATCCACAAACAGAAGGAAAGAGAAGACCTGCTGTGGTTTTTTTTTTTTTAAAAAAGAAAAAAAAAGTGCTGCATATACAGATCCTCAATCAGCGTGAATGGCATTAACAAAGGATTCGTTTGAACGGATTAAGTGGCTTATCACAGCTGCCTGGTGAGTTTTACAGATCACTAAATTTTTTAACTAGCGTCACTGGGATATATTTTTAGCTATCAATTTAACAGTAATAAGAAACCACCAGTGAAATCATTTGTAGCTTGTCAAAAATTTATTGTTTGATTTTGATTGCTAGTCTGTAAATTTATACCATTTAAATTTCAGGTACTACACTATTTAAATAGTAGGAAACAGGAACTATAATTCTGAATCTGTTTTAAGAGGAAAGATATTCCTGCATTCTAGTGATGAACATATTTGGAGAAGAAAAAGTAATGACCAACTCAAACCCGAATGTCTGTTCCAGAATAATTTTGCAGATAAGGGAGAATTATTAAACGGCATTTTTAGAGACTATGATGGAAATACCTGCTAGCAGCTGTGGCAGGAGTTCTTTCTGGAGGAAAATTATCCTTAGGAGAAGATTAGGATCACCGTGACCTGGAATTTTCAGAGTGGTGTGTGGGATCAATGATTCTATCTCTATAGTATCTTCTAGGAAGAGTCAAACCAATTTTACTTCTTTATAAAAATTGATGCACCAGGCTCTTTAGGAATGTGAAATTATGCTTTTCTAGCTGGGAACCTGGCCCAGCAAATATACCTTGCTTGAACCTGACACCCTTGCTGCTAGGCAGTCTTCTGTTGTGCTAATATGCCTGAACTCTCCGGTGTCTTTTTCATGTTTATTTGGTTTTCCAAAACTCAGGCTGTTTGTTATTCAGGTGTTCCCCAATGTAGCAGCCTTCTGTCCCAGCGATGTCTCCAAGGTAGCTGCTCTTGCCTTTGTTCTGTTATCTGTGAATAATTTACCTCTAACAGTCTAGTGCTGATTTGAGTACACAAACAAAATCTGTGCGGCTTCAGGAGGCGGGGATTTCAAAATGACAGAGAACAATCTGAGAAACACATGCTTGCAGTATATGACTGGAAAAAGGAGAGACTGCAGCACCGTCCATCAAGAACAGCATCATCAGATTTCCGTTCCAGTTGTGCAAGGGCTTCATGAGAACTTGGCACTTTCTTAAATGAAAAATAACCCATGCTTGGCCAACATTGATAAGGGAAAAAATATTTACAGGGACTGTCTGCAAGTTCAGAAGGTTATAGAAGCAAAAATGGCCTTAAATTAGTAACAATCACAGAACAAATCAATGCTATTGTCTGCTACCCTCTTGAAGCGTTCCTTTGAAGTTAAATCCTTTCTACACAAACTTACTTGATGCATTAAATGATGAACTACTGGGATGCACAAAACTTCTCCACCATTTACTGCTGTAGCTGATAATCTGGCAGTCTCACATTGTTTAATCAGTCCTTTGTTTCTCATTTAACAGGAGACAGTATGAGCTTCTGTCTTCAGTTACCACTAATTATTTTCATAAATATTTTGTTTCTGTAAAATCTATGTATTTGAAAAAAAGTAGCAGGCAACATAAGTTTAAAAAATATATAAAGTATAATATATATAAAGCTAAAATATGTTTAATTTGTCAGTACTGAATTTATCAGTATATATCAGTGCATATACAGGTTGTATAATTTTCAGTTTGAATCTGTGAATAGTTAATAATCAGGGAGAGTAATCGTGATTTTGCTGGTACAGTTCTGGGTGCTCTAAAGAGTTGATCATGTAAATAACAAAGCAAAAATGGAGGTTAATCTCAACAGGAGTTTGGGAAATTTACTAAATGCCTAAATATTTGCAGGTTTGGAGTAATTTTGGTACAGGCTTCACAATAGCATGGAGAATAATGCAGTAGTAGTCTCTATGTTACGGCCATATCTAATTTATCATTTCGTAAAAGGACTGAGCACGTTAGTTTTCATTAATGTTAGTATTAATAATAATGTTACTATTAATAATAATTAGGAATAATGCTTATTTCCTGTATTACTGCAGAAATTTTGGGCTACCTTTTTATTTACTTTATCCTCTTTTTTTTGCATGTAGAACTCATAAAAGATGTGATTTCAACTTCATAATCCATCACTAGCAATGGTTGGCATGGAGCTGGGCTTCCCCAGCAACTGCTCTGGAATCACGTGGCTATTTTGAGTGCTGCTTTGCTCCCTGCTTTCTCCCTCTCTCTGAGCAAAAGAAAACAGCACCTGCTAACTCATTGGGGAGCAGATGCAGATTACCTCCATCTCTGCTCAATCTTCACTGCATTGTGTCTGTGAAGGTGCAGAAATCTGTCTGCAGTTCCTCTCTGGCCATTCCTAATTGTGGAATTAGAAATAGGTTACAAGGACTTTTACATAGTCTTGTTCATGCCTATCTGTTCGTACTCAGTCTCACAAATCCAAAAAGACAGATGTACATAGCATGTGCTGACCATTTCTTGATGGTGCATACCCCCTAGAAATATACTCTTTTACTATATAATCACCTCAATTATATTAAGTGTACACACTTCTCACTTTTTAAAGGCTCCATTTTTGTGAAGGTTGGATGTTGGAAGTTTAGTTTTAATTTAGCTTTCTCCTTCTTTTAAATCAGGTGGCTGCTGATTGTTTTTTCAGCACAAGAAATTGATGGGGTAAGTGACATTGATATTTACTTTAGATAGATGATAGATAGGATGGTATAGTTCAAACAAGTAACGCTGTATACACCAAAATGACCTATATTTCTGAGGGAAAACTGATGTTGCTTTCAGTGTATCTGCAGTTCTAACTTTCCTTTCTGTTCCTGTTACTCAGATTAAATATTTTGTAGTTTTCTCCTTTGGATTCTTCTAGATTCTAACTTTGGCATCTCTAGATGCTTTTGGAAAGCTACATGTAAGAAAACCTCTCTCATGCACTGAGTCTGTCTCCTTCCCCATTAAGTCCCTGCAGTGGCTCGACAGTATGGCACGTATCAAACTCTAGCTTTCAAGCCCTTCTCTGTATGTTAGCCTAGATCTTCAACTAGTCTTCCTGTACATTACAATCTCTCTGATGCCAAAATTTCGCATACAATATCATCTCAATATCTACTTTATTTTCCTCTCTGTACTGTTCTCCTTATTAACCATATATTGGCAATGCCCTCACTGAACCTTCTTTCAAGTCTGTCCCCTTTTTTTCTTTCAAATATTTAAAAGTTCTTTTTTGTTTTTATTTTCTCCACAATCATCCCTTTTTAGTTGAGCTGCTGAAACTGAATTTTTTTTAAAATAAATATGTTCAATTAGAACAAAGGGTAGCAGCTTATGTGTTACTAGAAACTTGCATTCCGTTGACATTCCAGTAGAGACAAGTTTTTAATAACTAGGTGAGAGACTAGTGTGGCGTAGATTAGTAATTTCATGGGAAATCCAGTGCGTGAAAGAGAAGCAGTCTGTGAGAGGGACCATCATACCCTCTTGTTCTAAGGTTTGGGAGTACCAGATATCCTAAAAATATTGTAGATAGAACAGAATTTTTCCTCCTTATCTAATATTTGTCAGTGTTTTCTCCTTGAAAATCTAAAGTATGAACCTACAGTGTTCTGTTGGTTATTAAAACTAGTAACAAAACAATGTTGACCTTGATAAAAATGAAATCCACACTGAGCAAATATTTTCGTGTTATCACTGTTTACTTGTTTACCTGAATTATTCTTAAAACTTCTAAGTCCTTGTCAACCTTTTCAAAATGACTTTGATGATTTACACAAGTTTGCTGAAAAACTAATGTCCCCTAGCAGACATTCCAGCCATCTAAGTGAGTTTATAAATGCATGTAGTGTGTATAATTGGTGTATGTTTAATACTACACTTTGGAAACCAGAAAAGAATAATAAAATGATGCTCACTTGCCAAACAATAAACCTACTGAATTTACATTTTGTTGTGTTTTAGTTTCTCCTCAAATATGCTTTTTTCTTCATTGCAATTTGAAGAAACAAAGTAGTCACTTCCTTGCTATTAAGAGGACAATGACAGAAAATCTTAATACAAGAAAGAAGTAAATTAATGGTAGGCAATGCATAATTACACCATGCACATACTTCTTTTTTCATTTAATAGACAAGATTTAAATACAAGGCTTTATCACTGAGTGGGCTTGTTGCTTTTCAGCCTGTTTTGCCTTTTAACATTTAATTGTAGTTCAACAATCTCCTAACCTAATGTGATGGGTTACAAATTTCACATTATTACAAATTAAATTCTAACTCTGTTAATTCTAGATGCAGCCTATTTCCTTAGTTGTATTTAGCTGTAATATTTTGCATTGCTTAACATTAACTTGCAGGTAATGTCTTTCAGCTTCTACAGCAACAGCGATAAGTTTTTGCTTATTGCTTCTATTTGCCAGCATGTTTATGCTGATGAGAGGTCCAAGAAGGTTAGGAGGATTTTAAATGTAGTATTGATGTATGTATTCTATTAAGCAAGCATTGGAAAAGGTTCATATATGTCAAGCTGAAGATCTACACTATATCCTGATGTTTGCTGCTTTCCTTCATCAGAAGGAAATTGCCCTGTGGGTATGCAAGGGTAGCCAAATCTTCTGCCTTAAAAATAATCTAATTGGGTAACGTGTCCAGTTGACAATATTTGATGAGTGATTGTTGTTTGTTGCATATTGATAAATCCATAAACTTTTAATTTTTAGGGAGGATATGCATATATTGATCCATGCGGAGGCCAGGATTGTTCAGTTTGTCGGTGCTTTCCAGAAAAAGGATCAAGAGTAAGTGATAATTAGAACTAATGATAATTACTGTTGTAAATACTGTTTGGTTTATGCACATTAGTCTTCTTTAAAATCGATATAGTTGACATAAATCAATATTCAGACATAAAAAAGTCTGAGTATAGAAAACGAGCATAATTCTCTTACTGGTATGACATACAGCTATCATCAAAGGAAGTTAAGATTGTTTGTAAACAAGTTTGCTTGTAAATGAGGTTTGAATAATCATGGTGCCTTTTTTGTGTTAAGGATTCTTTGAGATCAATCTAGTAGTCAGAAAAAGGCCATTCTTAATAGAAATCTATGCTTGTTTTCTGCTAAAACATTGGTTGAAAGATAATGTCTATGCCATTTACAAGTTTTATGAGAACTTATGTGTTTCTTATTTGGGTTAGGTGATTCTGGAAAAGCTCGTAGACTTTTTATTTTACTAGCTTAACGCACTAAGTATAAAGAAAAAATCTGAATTGTCTTTGCCATATAAATAATTGTAAAACATTGAATGAAGCCAAGGCATTTTTATAGTATACACTAAAATTAGTAAGTGTGCATGTTGCTATTTGTTCATTGTAACGTGGTCCAGGGATGACTAGTTTGTTGTCTTGACTGTTCTTTCTCAAAATATGTATCTATATAGTGATAGCAAACAATTTAAATGTTACATAAGGAAATTTAGATGCCCTCATTGGTGAACAACTGAAAAATTGTCAGTTAGTGATGGAAATTGTTTTCTTTCAAAGTACTAATGTTAAAGTTTAGGGTTACAAAGCTTGAACATGGTGGATCAGTTTTTAGAAGAGCTGCATGCCCCATTTGTTTGTGTACAACCTGAGTCACTACAAAAGACAGACACACCTTTTCCTTCCTGTGCTTCAGCAGTTAGCCGCATGCTTTGCTGTGTCATGATCACTGCCCTGGTGTCCTTGGATCCTATCCTAATCCTCCAGGATTATGTCTATACGAAAGTCCCTTATGCTGTAGGATTTTCATAATAGGGGCCTAGGATACGGCTATCTCTGTAACGCTGTGTTAACAAAAGGGCATCCCAGGAAAAGTATTTTGACTAGCAGCATTACAGTGTCTCTCCGTGCTACTGAATAGACTGTTTTGGATACCAAAAACCTGATCTGAAGTGCCATTTAAAAACAACTAACTTAGAAACTAGAGGAAACTTCCCTGATTCTGGTTCTATCTCAGCAACGTGAGAGTTCTGAATTATGTGCCCATAATCAGTCAATAATAAATGCTCACTGCAGTTGTTATGGCTCTTTCCTAAACTGTCTTCCCCACCACAGGTAAACTGAACTATGGCTCGTGCATTTGCAGTTAGTTTTCAAAATATTTCCAAGGATTTGGAGTTAAGTGCCAAAAAGAAGCGTAATAAACATTTCAAAATAAATTCAACATCATTATGCAAATCTAAGTCTGAGAATTGTACCATTTTCTGAAACAGCTGTGAAATACATATGCACACTGATGGATAAAGTCTCTCCAATGTAATATTAATTTATATTGCATGCAATCATTTCTATTAGATCAATGTGCAAGAAGTAGAAGTACTTATCAGACTCTACATGAAATATGCCTTGACTAAACACCATTTCAGATAGATTGTTGCAAGTATTTTCTATACTAATGTATGGTGATGAATTATTTTCTATAGGATTACTTAATCTTTTTTCCATCCTACAATGCTGTTGAATTCTAAACTTTGCTGTGTTCTGCCTTTACACTCTGACACACTAAGTTTGCTTTCCTAGCTTTTGTGGAGAGTACTCATTACAAAATAAAAGATGTGTTTATCTTATTTTTAGCTTCCTAGAATGCAAAACATCTGCTTTATCTACTTATCTGTCTGAATCCTGCTTCCAAGCGGGTTCCTCAAAGTTTTGTGTCTTCCTCAATCCTGTCTTTAAAGTGCAAGAAATAAATGATCGTTGACAGCCTCTGGCATTGTGCAGTATGCAAACCTAAAATTTCAGAAGTGTACAGTTTATTAAATAATCCTTCTCTGTAAAGAAGTTGAGATAAGGACAACAGTATAAATTTGGTTCCCTAGCACTGTATTTTTTCCATTTTCACAATTTAGCATAGGCTGGCTGTCAAATTTAAGGATGTGCTGGTGCCTCAGCGAACATTTGCTGAAAGCAGAAAAAGATTCTAGAAAATTCATCTACTTACTGGTAAAAGGCAATGGAACAATAATCTTATCTAGAGCAGCTGGAAAGCCAACCTTATAGCAGCCCTCAACATTAACAAGTCTTTGTTCAGCTCTGTTAAACCAACTGCAGTATCAGGGCCTTGTACAGAGGCTGAATGAGAAAGGCAGCATCTGAGTGAACTACATCAGTGTATGTGTTGAGTTACATTGATATACGTAGACCAGTCCACTTATTTTTATTTTTTGTTTATTTTTAAATCTCTCTTATTACAGGGAGTCAGATGCAGGGTATTCCCTTCATGATCTTCCGTTGAACATGGTAATCTAAGACCTACAGGGGAGCAAGGGCAAATTGTCTCATTATTGTATTGTGAAAGTATCATCTGTGTTAGAAACACACAAGGTCTGACCTATTATGAATAGACTAAATGTGTTATTTCAACTCTTCCAAGAACTGCAACCAAATCCTTCAGTAGACTAGCTGGAACATGGCCATTCATATGTTGTTCTGGATCTTTGTTGTTGGCTGAATACAGTTCCAGTTTCAATGGAAAGTTTCCATTAACTTTTATCTCCTCTAAAAAGTGCACTGGGAAAGAAGCTATTTAGCAAAGCCCATTATATGTAACACACCTGGTGGAGTTCATAGGAATTATTATCCATAGGAAAGACGCTCATTGTATCATAGTGTAGATTTTGTGCTAGATAGATCTCATAGGTCCAACTTACATAGTGTAACATCTGAGCAGGAACCTAAACAGTTTGTTTCACACGTTGCTAATGGTCACTTCCCTACATCTTTCTTCACACACTAATGAAAAGGAGACTTTTAGAGAAGTCAGAATATCTATCTGCTAATAAAACAGCAGTTGTATAAGTTTCAAAGTTGAGATGTGACCATCTGACAAGGTTTCACTTTGTCAGCAGACTGTGAGGAAAATGTTGATAGTTTCATTTGAGAGATTTTTGTTTACATTTAAAACACTATGACAAGTATTTGATGACATTGCCATTTTACAGGTTTTAGAATGTTACCTTCCTTTGTAGACTTTCAGTGGTAGCATTGCCCACTGGAAATTTAGGTGGTGAAGCGAACAAACAGGAAATTTCTATGTTTGGAGCAGACTTTAGTCAATCCATAACAAAGATTTCTACTAAAATTAAGGTAGAACAAAAGTCTTAGAGCTGATATAAATCAGCTTTGTTTATTTGTAATTACCAGTGACAAGTGAAGTGTGTTCACATTTTGAAAACTAGAAGCATTCTAAGCTGCATATGACATAACTGTAGCCCTTATCCTTAGCGTTTCTCCACTAAAATAGTAAAAAACTAGGGTAATAAGAGAATAAACACCTAAAATTAAACTCCGAAATATATTTAGGTTTATGAGTTAAGTAGAATGACTGTCAGGAGTGTAGTACAGTCTGAAGTTTCCATAGGAAAGTAGAACCTCAAATCTTGCCCTACTCGCTTTGGCATAATGACCTTTCTTTCTATACATTTTTTTGAATGCAGTTGAAGTATGGTTAGTTAAAGCTGTGGTTACCAGCACAGTGTAAGAAAACTGCGCAGCTAACCGTGAATGGGATTAAGACTTTGCCTTCTAGTTGCCCATTTGAAAATCTTTTAAATGTCAGCATAGAAAGCTTTCATTGTAAGTGGACAAGATAACTGAGGTTTTAGCTAGAGAAAAGATGACCATGGGAGTAAGAAAAGAAAACTGCTATGGCTGTACTTGATTGTAGTGAAATTGGGCAAGTTGGAAGAAAACGAAGATGATAAGAGGGCTGGAGCACCTTTCCTATGAGGACAGGCTGAAAGAGTTGGGGCTGTTCAGCCTGGAGAAGAGGAGGCTCCGGGGGGACCTTATAGCCGTCTTCCAGTACCTCAAGGGGGCCTACAAGAAAGATGGGGAGAGGCTGGTCAGGCGGGGCCGGTGGGATAGGACAAGGGGTAATGGTTTTAAAATAGAGGGAGGTAGATTCAGGTTGGATATTAGGAAAAAATTTTTTACCATGAGAGTTGTAGAACACTGGAACAGGTTGCCCAGAGAGATGGTGGATGGTCCATCCCTGGAGACGTTTAAGGCCAGGTTGGATGAGGCCCTGAGCAACCTGATCTAGTTGAAGATGGCCCTACTTATTGCAGGGGATTGGACTAGATGACCTTTAAAGGTCCCTTTGAACCCAAACCATTGTATGGATTCTAAAAGTAGAAGAAAATAGCTGAACTTTTTTTTTAGTATTATAAACCAAGCATACTTATGCATTGGTTGCTATATTGAGTTTTAGAAGAGCTTGTGTACCTGTCATCTTTTATTTTTCTCAACATTAGATAACTGTGCATTGAACAGATTTCCACTACTGTTCACTAGCAAAAAATCACTGTCTGAAAAACATCCTAGTCCCTATTGCTAGTAGTGTTTCCCATTCTGATATCATTAGTTGTCCACATCACAATGAAATTTTGACTTATGTTTAATTGGGATTACAGCCTTGTTGGAATTAGTTTTACATTATACTATTTATCTCTTGATCTCACGTCACAACTCAAAAGGACTCTTTCTTCTATAGGACACCATTAAAACGCGCTGTTAAATCTCTTTGTGCATACTGTGTGCTACTATACATATCATTTAAGAACTACAGAATAGATAAATGAGGGAAGAAAGTCATTAGTGAAAGTATATATGCCAGTAAGCTTTGTATGTGATATTTAGTGCCAGCCTGGAACAACAGAGACCTCCTCCTGCCTCTTCTTTCCCAGTCAAGACGTATGGTCTTCCAGGAGGCAGTAGCAGTTAATATTTTTAATTAGAGGCAAACAGCAACTTCATTGTTTTAGATTTTTTTCCCCTCTTCCTCTTTGGTCTTCCATAAAGTCTGTGATTTTAATTTTCTCCTGATGTGTTCAACAGACAATGAAACCTTTCCTCCCTTTCCTCCTCTTTCTTTGACTTGGGAAGTTATTTCCTTGATAACTCCTGCAGTGTTGTATCAGAGGCCTCCAACTATGCTGACTGCTCTAACAGAATTTAGATAGTTAAATAAATGTTTGCAGTTAGCACTGACCGATTGTAAACCTGTCCTGTGCCGACCCCAGAGTTTGATCCCATTCAATTCCTTTGGCTTTGTTTTTAGAGTTAAGTAGATTTAGAAAGCAAGCATCTATTCATGACCCAACCTGATCTAGCTTCTATGAGATCATGTGAAATGCCTGGAGCAAAGTGAATAATAAATATAAGTCAGCAAGACTGCTGTTCATTCTTTTGCAGATGAAGCGAGTGGCCTATTTTCATACTAGTGTAGGAGACAACCTAGCAAACAGAAATATGAGAGGAAGGTGTCGCATTTTTTGGCTTATGAGGTGTAAAGAGTAAGCATTCACAACAGATGCTAAGTCAGTTGGTTGTCACAGGTAAGTTAGAAAGTCAGCTGATGTAAACTTCAGGACAGTGGGGTAAGAATGGTGAAACGTAACTCTATGTCTGTCTTCTGGCATCATTTCTCTTGTCACATCTCCCTAATAGATCTTGTGGGTTGTCACATCTCCCTAGTAGATCCTATGAGTTAACCGAGTCTGATTTACAGCACAATGTAAACATATTTAAGAATCACTAATTGGGAAATTGTGCTGCAAATTCTGTCTGGTTTGGGGAGTAAGAGGCATTTATTAAATTGCACTTTTTTGCATGTCAGTATGCAATGGCAGTCACGTGGAACGTCGCATGGACTATACAGCACTTGTATTTGAATTTTCAAGCTGCACGCTCAGGAAATGAGTATGTAAAAATTCATCTATTTGATGTCAAATACATGTACTTAGTTGAATCCACTACCAGAGATGTATGCATACCAGCATCTGAGGAAACCCAGAACACTCCCGGTCTTTGCCTCATACTTAGCAAGCACTTTTTCCAGTATATTTGCTATGATACAGTCTTAAAATAGAAGATTCCTGAGACCAGTTATAAATTTCTGTACTATTTCTATTGCATTTCACTTACATTCACTGGGAACCATAGATAAATGGACCTAGAGAAATGAGACCTCTAAATCTATGTCTTGAAGCACACCACACATCTTTTTTTTTATAACTAGGCAGAGCAGTAGGTAGTTCTCTGGCTCCAGGAGTTAGGATTTGAACTTGTAGGGAATAGAGCCTGCTTACCAGAATGTGGAACAGAAGCAGGATCACTCCATTCTCCTCACTCTAAGGTCTCTTTGAGGCTGTTCTTCGTATACAATGTCCAGCTACAGCATCTGTAAATTAGCATTTTTCATGTTAGACATGTTTCCAAATTTTTCAGAAGTTTGGATCTTGTTAAATTATCCCTTCTTTTTTTTGTTCTTAAGCATCTTTCTTTCCTTAATACTTTCGATTTCCCTGTCCCACCATACTAAAAATAGTGTTTTTCTCAGTTGCTGCAGATTGGCAAGCTTTTCCACATCGGGCAAGACAAAACTCTACAAAAATCATTCTTTTTCATAGATTCGAATCAATGAAAAATTGCCAATCAGTGACTCATTTCAATAAAATTAATCACCACAAAAGTTAATTTTATTTTATTAGCTAATCTGATGTTAATCATTTATGGTTTAAAATGCTCTATTTTCAGTGCTTTGCTTTCAACTATTAAGTGTTTCTTAGTTTCAGTGCCGAATTCTCTCTTGTTCAGTGTTTGTTTAACACAATAGTGACACCCACTGGTTTATTGGATACTTTCTCTTTTCATGGTTCCACCGGGTTAAAACATAAAACACAGTACACTGTGAAAAAATACTTTCAGCACTTCACCGTGATTTGTTGTGCTTCAGTGAAGTATCACTGTGAATAATAAGCTGCATCATCAGGTACTATGTTCCTGTAGCATATTGGATCATTGAAAAATATGATAAAAGAACACAGAATTTTCCAGTAGTTTGCAGCATGATCCAGATGCTGAGAAAAGTCAGGCACTAAGAGTTACTACTGCATTTAATCAGCTCAAAATCTGACCACAAAAAAGAAGTTATCTAATACTGAAAAGTTGTTATGCAATCTGCTGTTTCTGAACAAACTGAGAATAAGGTACATGCCATATACTAGTCTGACCCTCACTTGCTGTTTAACCCACAGTCACAGAAAAATTTGCTCTATTAAGGACAAAATCAAGTGTTATGCAGTGTCTCGGGCAACCAAAAAAGTAATTCCAAATAACCTTGGCCATTGCCTTTTCCAAACAGTATTAAATACTTTGCTGCATGAGTCTGAAGCATTTGCAGTCTTAGTCTTAGGAAGCATACTTAATTAAAAAAAAATATAATCTTGTTTTGTCAAAAGTCAGTTTCTTACTGCAAGCCAAGCCCAGAATATGCTAAAATAACAGACCATAGTCTTGGCATAGGTAGTTCCTGACCTAGACAATTAACAAGGCACTAAAATCCTACAGGAATTTATTGGCATCAGATGGCAGAGCAGGCATAATATTATGTTCATTTTAACTGAGCTAATTTGTCATTTCCACATGAGCATGACTACCTTCATCCTCTTCATTTGTACAGCTGTCCTGAGACTGTAATGCTGTGGTAGTCACATTGGATGGGCACAAATAATAGATGTGATAATAGATGTTATGACATGGTATCAGTTTGATCTTAACAAAGCTCCCAGTCATTATCAGTCTTTGAGCTGAAAGAAAGAGAGACAATCCACCAGCTTCAATGGCATGCTAAAGTTGTATCAGCTGTCAATCCTATTGTGAATTCTGGATTCAGTGACTCTGTTTTATGACTTCACTACCTCCTACTGAAGACATAAACCATGAATTCAATTAAATTCACAGGATAGCAACTAATGAAGACGTTTTATCAGCCTAAAGAACTACATGTCCTGGAAGTGTTTATTGGTTAATTATGATGGATAATTACCATAGAATTCATACAGTATCTCAGCTTTTTTTTTTTTAATACTCTCAAAATAATTTTTCTTCAACTGTCCAAAGACTAGAACATGATTTGAAAATTTTCTTTAAGCTTGTGAATGCAGAGCATATATGATATGAATTAAAAATATTAAAGTTGCTGCAGAAACTTGTTGTCAACAAAATGCATTAAGACAAAGGCATTAGAGCATTAGTGCAAAGTATCTTATGCAATTTTTTTTCCTGCTGATGAATATTGTATTTGCATGGTAACAGCTAGTTCAGTGTACTAAAAAAATGTACTTCTTCCAGAAGAGTGAATGGTTCAAACAGTTGTATTTTACTGTATTATTAGTCTCCTTCATTTCACTTTTCTTATACTCAAAATTATGCTTCAAAATTATGTCCAACTGTCAAATCACACTGATTTTACTGACATATTTTAAAAGACAAATAAAGAATGAATAAAAAGAGGTTTAGGTCCCTGCCTGTGATTCAAAAGATAAGATTTTGTTCAGACACATTCAGTCTGTTGAAATGTTTACACTGAGAAGCAAGTAATTCAGTTCTATTGCTTCAACATAATTTGATACCTGAAGCTAACATATCTGCTTACAATCACCTTTGATTTCTGTCATTTTGTTTTCCTTCAATCCATTTGTAGAATAAACGTTTGGTCTGTCATTTCTGTGAACGGAAGTTGAAATGAAATATCCTTTACTGCCCTCAAGTGGTCTTAGAGCCATATGCTTTTCTTGGGAATGCATGGGGCTCCATTTTGCTGCTTTTGAAAAACGTGGTATAATTGATTGATGAATTCTGAAAAGAAAGCAAAACGCTCTTCAGCTGGGAACAACAAGTTATGGCTAAAAAAAGATAACGATACAGAATGGAAAAGATGAGTAAAAGAAATAAAGACCTGTAAATTTGTAGATTTTGTAGGGTGAAAGCGTAGATAGCTTACATGTTAAGTCTCATTAGAAAGATTGCTTTATTCATCACTTTGAATCTATGATTTAGTAGTTCTTTAGCAGCACAGAACAAAAACTGCAACAAATCCAAAACAACTCCACACCAATGATATAGGCTAAAAAATCCAGTTGGCATAGGAAATATTTTTACTTCAGGAAAATATATATTACCTTGGAAAAGTTAGTAGAAATCCACTGAGATGGTTTGTGTGGTACTGTATGTACGAATACTCAATTTAGAGCTATTTATATATAAATGACATTCTAGCTATTTATATATAAATGAATTCATTCTCACAAATGATTTTAACGCAATCTATTAAAATTGATACTTTCTGTAAATATGTTGGGTACTAACTGTTATTTTTTTCTGCAGGAAGCTTCACAACTTTTAAATAAGCCATTAAAACCTGAGAGTGATGATAGAAGATATGTGAGCTAGAAAAACTTGAGATAATTAGCATATAGTGTAACTTAAAGAGGGAATTCTCTCGATTTGTTCTACTTGTGTACAAAGTTCCTTTGTCTAAAATGAGCCATCACTTCTCTGGTGGCAAAAATATGATGCTCAGTGGAGTCTTATGCTTGCTCAAGGTGATTCTTACATGGGTAGAGCCAGGAACACTTGCAATTATCCCAGGCACCTCAGAGAGGTGGAGCTGGAGACCTGATGAATGTGAAAAGAAATTATCACCTTGAGCAAGTTGTTAAATTTCAAGGTCATGTACCTATAGCATCTAATGCATGGAACGGATCTGCAGGCTGTACAGCAAGCTGTTGTGAATCATGAGCATTGTATACATTGTAAGCCTTGTTTTATCCATACAGTCATCTCCGAAATGCTGCCTGCCATGAGGTTAACAGCAGTAGTCATTCACTTCTTTGGACTCTTTTCAGGGTCAGCCTGGTGAGCTGGGAGCTCAAGGTCCGATTGGGTCCTTGGGATCTACAGGACCAGCTGGTCTGCCCGGGCAAAAAGGACAGAGAGGTGAGAATGGGCAGCCTGGGCCAGCTGGAGAAAAAGGTGATAAGGTAGGAAACACCATGGACGGCTCTTTCAGGTTCGTACAGTATATAATGTTAAATATTGGCAAGTGAAACGGAGCCTGAGTGATCAAAAAGCATTTGCCAAACTAACCTCTTGCTCACACAAAATTCTCACTGAAATTAATTACAGCTTTCTTGAAAAAATGTTTCAGGGGATTATTGCTGTAGATTGCAAAAATCATAACTGTCAGAAGACATAAAATAAAATGAAACAGACCCAGTCTCTGACTGTTATGTACCATGCCATCCTTAACCTTAAAGAGGGCTGTGGGAGGAATGTGGAGCTGCAGGGAGAAGTATGGGGCTTTTAAAGGTACTGTACACTAAACAGAATTTTATTACCACTTACGGAGTATCAGTTGCAGTTCAGGTCCATATCTTTCATACATGTACAATCCGTGTGCTTGGGTCTTGGTACTTTATATGAGTTTTAATGGTCCAATTCCGCTGATCTTAGTGAATGACTGAAATCACTAATGTCAGTATCCAGCATACCTGAAATGTAAGTGCTGTAAAGAGAAATTGTGCTGCTGGTAATATCAAAACAGGAGTAGAGTAGTGAAATTACGTACAGATTTGTTTTAGAAGTTATAGGCAACTTCGCCTTCTCTGTCATTTTATAATCTTTGGAGAATGAATGTGTATAAGAGTTAGACATTTGTCTTGTACTATACCATCTGTTAAAAGGGTAGCTATTGGCACTAGTGTCCTGCTAAGCCCATACAACTTTTTTCTGATATTTATTGCTGACGATTATGGCTTTTGATTCATATTTCAAACAAGGCCATTTCTAGTTTCTTGCTATATAGTATCACATATTCTTGTTTTTCATTCTTTTTAAGAGTTAATGACCTCAGCAACTTTGTTTTTTCATGTCACTTGTTTTTAGGGCCCAACTGGAGTCCCAGGATTTCCTGGTTTGGATGGTGTTCCTGTACGTATTGAATGAATATTGGTTTATAGAAATTAAGTTTCTATAAACTCACAGCAAGTCCTCTAATGGAATAATACACTCAATAAATTGTTTGGCTTTGTACCTTTTGATGTCATGTCACCTACAGAATTACATGTTTTGCCAAAATGTAAAATAGCCAGGTTAACTTCAACTGTGTTTCCTGTTGATACCTCATTGGGATTTTGTGGAGTTAGTTAAGTGCATAATTTTCCTGCAGGAGTGGGGCAGTGAAGGTAGAGACTAGCCCATGTCTGTGTGCATGTGTCAGCACTAAGATTAAAAACAATGAGTTTCTTTTCTCAGGCTCTATAGCAGGCTGTAGTCTGCTTGCTGCATTCTTAACATCTCTGAAAGTATCTCAAATGATGTACTGTTTTTCATTCAAACATTCTGGTTTTCGCTTGTAGTCCTTTTGCAGAAAAAAAAAGGCAACCACTGAGTCCAGTGATTTTTTACCTGAATGAGGATGAAGAAGCAAAGTGGGTTCTAAATATATCTTTATAAGCATGTGATTATGTATTTTTCTGAATGTCTGTATAATGTAGAGGTCACAAGGCCAAAATTTAGCACAAAAAAGAAGTGCTCCAAGAAACATGTATTCTTTTTATGAAAAACGTTAATTAAAAAACAGCGTCCACAAATTGGGATGAACCTTAAAGACAGGAAGAAGGTAGAATTGACAAAAGCATTTCAGATAAATGGCCAGGATACTTTCCTGATGATTTTTCAGACCCTCAAAAAAAAAAAAAAAAGGGTCACAATTCCTATTTGTTCCTTACAAAAAACGTTTAATTCTGTGAAAATAATTTTTCCTCCAATGGAAAGATTATTCCAACGGAAAATCTCGCTGTTTCTGTTGCCTAGTGACTAATTTGTAGTAGAACTAACCCCTATCTGGTCATTGGTTAGTTCTTCCTAGGTTAGAAAATCACTTCATTAGTTCTTGAATGTATAGTCATAATTGCTGCAACTACTGTGTGCTTGAGTCAAGCTGTGTCCTGTTTTGCCTTGTTTTATCCTATCAACTAAAAAAATACGAGGCTGCTTGAGATGACTTTTATGTATATTTTCAGCTTTTATTTACAGCCACAAGAAAGATTATAGTTAGAGAGCTGGAAACTGCCTTTCTCTGAGAAGATAGCACATTATTATTTGACTCAAGTGAGAGCTTAGTTTGGCCTGCTTAACCAGTGCTGTTGCTGTTATATTTGCTATGCATCAAAGAAAAAGATGTAAAATACTTCTATCATGTTATACACACAAAAAAATTCTATTGATCACAACAGAAAACATTTCTAATGCAGAGTATGAAGCTGGGATCACTATAAGATGTCCTCTGTTTCAGATCTATTTATTTCTGAACTGTTCTGTTAATTTAAAAAAGTAATTCCCTATTTTTCATGGTGTATCTCTAATAAATACTAAACTGTCTTTCAGGGATTACCAGGAACTGAAGGACCCAGGGGCAAGCATGGTTTAGATGGCTGCAATGGCTCAAGAGGAGATCCGGGATTTCCAGGCGAAAATGGTTATGTTGGACCAAGAGGTCCTTATGTACGTGAAAGGCATTCCTACTGTCTATGAATACTGTATGCGTACATTTCGCCTCAAAGATAACAGCTCTTAAAATGAAAGGAGTTTTAGACTATGACACTAGCTTTACACTGCATGATGAATTTCCAAGCATTCTTACTGAGGTTATTGGGAGCGAAGGACACTTGGTGCCTTAGCAGGTTAAGTTCAAGCTTGAACGTGAAATAAGGTCCTGTATCCTTCAAGTATATACGTCTACCTTGAGAGTTAAATTCTGCTTTGTTTCCCCAGTATGTAACCACACCAAAGCTAATACCATTTCATGGAAGTATAACTGAGAAGGAGTAGCTTGAAACCATTATACCATTTATCAATACTTGAAATTTCTTAAAAACCTTAATAGGAGGGACGTACCTGAGATGAATTGGCAATAAGTGGAAGCTTCAGCAAGTCTAAGTCCTGAAACACTTTATTTTAGTGTTTGATCACAGAGGTGTATTAGTAGATCTCTTCCAAAATCATGCTCTTACAGTTTCATATATTGCTTTTTACACATACCTATTTATGACTGCTCTGTTCACACCTAATCTTGCCTGGGTGTTTATCTGCATACATAGAGATCATTTCAGTTAAAATGCTTACAATTAGCACTTTAATATTGTTTACTTTTGCTGTCAAAATGAAAAGCATTTTAAAATTGTTTAAATAGTTGTGTTAACAGTGCTCTTCTAATGAAGATAAAACACAGATTTGTGTTAGCAAGGGATATAAATTACTGTAGCTGCAAAGAAATTTTACTGAATGGATCTAGTCCCCAGTCTTTGACTTTTTGTGGAAACAAGTTTTAGTTCTGAATGATTAATAGCTGATCAGTTGGTCTAAGAGCTTCCTGAAATTTTCTAAATAAAACAATAAAAACAACTGCAATTTACATGTAAAGTCAAATGTGTTTAGTAAGAGCTAAATAAGATGCTGATTCAGCTATAGAGAATCAAAAAAATGTGCAGTGGGTGCCAGAGTAAAAAGATGTTATCAAAAATATAGCAATTAGAAAAAACATACATTTTCAGTCTTGGACCTGTTGTAATAAATGCTATAAAATACACAACCTGATAAAGAACTTAGTATTATTATATGTTATACCTCATTTGTTATACCTCTCCAAGTAACCCATTAACCCTCCCAATAGTAGAATGACTTCTGCTCAAACTCTAATTTTACCAGAATTTCTTACTTATTATACTTTAAAAATAGAGTTTTGCCGTATATAATTAGCCAAATGACATAAAGGAAAAATGAGACATGGGACAAATCACAGCATAAATCCTCTTAATTCCAGGAGCATGTTCTTTGGCAGGCCTAGAAAAGTATTTGCAACCTACAAAGAATGGGAGACACAATAGGCATGTAGCCTTGGATATGCACACTAAAATTCCAGTGCAAATTAATTTAGCTACCCAGAAGAACAGGACATAGTAATGATATTTGCTTGTGTACAAGAATGCTATTCCAGCCTCTCTAGGCAGATTGCTAAATTGCAGATTTTTAAATCAGTTTGTTGCACCAAGTAACAACTTGACTATATTATAGCTATCATTTTTATGTTCCTCATTTATAACATCTTGTGTAATTTTATCTAACAGTATGCACATATTCATCAGCTTTACTTCTGTTACCTTGTAGAATCTGCACATTTACCTCACCAATAAATTGGAAAAGAAAGTAGTTTCTATTTATAAGCCCTTACCTAAGTCACATAGAAAGTAACAAACTGAATCTAATAAAGATGTTTTATTATACAAGAGATCACATGTAAAATAACCAAAGACAAATATAACTTCTGATTTGTTATATGTGTTCCCTAGCAGCTGTGGTTTGACCTGTAATCTGCATCCAGTCTACTGTAGCTACATCCAGCTGTAACTCTTCCTTTTATTGGACCATTCCAGGAATAAGTACTTTCCCTGTTTCATTCTGACTTCAAGATTTGAGCAGACAGTCAGTACAGTTTTGAAGTGGTTAAATTATATGAAAAACAATATCCCATTTTATTGAAATCAATAGTTAAGTGGTTAACTTAGTTAAAGTATAGCCAGTATGTTTGGATTTCAAATGAGAAAGCTTCCAAAATAATGTCTTAATATATCTGTTCTTCAGATATATACATACCACATTCTTAACAGTCAATTGAGCATTACAATTAAATTTTGCAAAAGCAATCATCTGTTTCTACTAAGTCAGATTGAGGTTTTGAGGGTGCTAAGATTGGCAAAGTTTTATAAAGGACTCTACAGCAAGTACCATGAGAAACTAGTTTTTTAAAAAACAGGGCCTTTAGGCATCAGATTTTTTTTAATAGACTGTGAAACATATTTCCCAATAGATGGAAATGTTGAAGATTATGCATGTAACACAGTCCATACTTTCAGCTTTTTAACTGTATGCAGAATCACACTAGATTCTCCTAAATCACAGCATGAACTTTTGGAAATGGCAGAGTGCTAATATTTAAAGCCACTGACTCACAGAAACAAAAGGTAGGGACATTGATATACTTGATAATAAAGGCAAGATTTGTGAAGACTGTAGAATACTGAAGTATCCAAGAGCTAAGTAGCATCTGACAGAGCAGGAATCCAGAAACTGTGAGGAGCTGTTTTACTCAGTTGTACAGAAGGCAATTATTCTTTTAAGGGTCTTATTAGAAAAAAACTGCAAAATGCTCATGCAGTGATGGTGGTTCTAGTGGAATACCTAGTGACATATGGGCACCAGAAAAGCCCAGCCTGAGAAATTATCATTCAATCTCCATAGAAATGTAAGATATCAGTAAGTGGATCATGTTTTAAAAGACTTTTTTTCTTTAAAGGGAAATCCAGGGCAAAAAGGAGAAAAAGGAAATTCAGTGTATGTTTCACATTTTGGAAAAGGACCTCCAGTAAGTATCTGATTGTGAAAAAAAATCGCATGCCGTAGGAAAACGTGTATGGCAAATGTAATTGTTCTCATAACACCTCACTGTTTAATTAAGCTTTGTGCAAAAAAAAAGGCTAAAGCAAATATACAACTGGAACAGATAGCTTGTGATCTTAATAGCTATAAGGTTAGAAAATACCCATAACAAAGCTTGTAATGATTCATTTGCCAAATGATTGTCATTACAGGGAGACAGAGGTGATCCTGGACCTCCTGGCATGCCTGTAAGTAGTCAGTGGGTTCTATACATGCTTTTTGTCTTGAAGATCTTTCAAATTTTCCTTCTTAGTTCAGTAAAGAAATACTGAGGCTTCTCCCTGCCTGCCTTCAACAGCAAAATTCCAGAATGAAGTCTAACAAACATCGAGTCCCTATAGTCTGCCCCCATAACTAGTTCATGGTGGCTGAAAAGGAGCAGAAACAGACCATACCCATCTGTATTAGCTGTGCATTGAGCAGTTGTTGCTCTGGTACTCACAGTTTGCAGAATATTTTCTCCATTAAATTCAAGATGCGTAGAGATGTGACACCTTCAACAGTATCTGGTGGATCTCCTGAGAACATGTAGGACACTACCATATTTTGGCCATAAAAACACGTGAGAAGAGGAGAGAGTTTAATTTTGTTGCTGACTCACACTCTTCATGGCTTTGGGTTCCTCTTCTTATGACCTTCAAAAAAGTATTCACTGATTAACTGTATTAAAGCCCCCATCCTGTAGCACAATTACTGACAAAGTATTCTTTCAATCCATTAATACCATATAACTCCACATTGTCCAGTATCTATACAGTATTATGCAGAAACTGGCGCTGAGCTGCTCTAGTGACAGTGAGATTTCAGGCATGGTATAAGCTTCAGGCCATGGGTGGAATGCAGTGGCCAGTAGACTGAGTGCAAGTGATGCAGGCATTTTGGAGGAACTGGTTTTGTGGAGAAAAGGGTAAGCTCTTGATATTTTGACAAACAGACCTTTTGCCATCTTTTCCAGGGACCTAGAGGGTCAAGAGGTACAACGGGCCCATCTGGATACCCAGGCCAACCAGGCTTGCCTGTAAGATCACCACAGTTGTACAGCCTTGCATGTTTAGGATATGCATAATTTTGGTCTACCAGTTTTAGAACTTGCCTTAATGTCAATCGAAGCCTAGAAATAATTTTTAAGGCAGATGATAAAAAGAGAGATTTTTGCCTTACCTTATGTGTTTGGAAGTTCAGACATTGGAGCATATGTTGTTCCTTCCCATGCCTGCGTGAACACATTTCATCCTGGCAGTCTGTGGTCATGGAGGCACGCTGCTAGTGCTCTCTCCTTATTCCCTTTCCCCAAGGCCACCTTGTGGGAGACAGGAAAGTGGGAAGCCAGAGTTCAGCCTTCCTGAAAGCAGTGACCAGGTGAAGTAAATTGCACTTTGAGATAGATACATCCCAAGAGTAAATTCTGCCTCTAAGTGCTACTGGCAAGAGGAGGTAACTTTCAAAGCAAAGCTGTCTCTAAATCAGACATAATAACTTGTCTTCCATTCTCTTTTAAAGGGTACTCCAGGTTACCCTGGTTTGCCAGGTGAACAGGTAGGCAATGACTTTTCCTGAAGTTGTTAGTGAAATAATAGTGTTATTTATACAAATATTTGAAATGTCCCTTATGGTTAATTGTTACCAAGTTTTTCAAAGGAGTTAACTTGATTAAATTCTAATGTCAGCATTTTCTGATTACCTTCAAACTGTGTAAATTTTTTGTCAATTAGGGAAATCCAGGTATTGGAGTGGACGGACAAAAGGGGGAGCCGGTAAGAAAACAAATGTTATTAAATATATTATTTCTGTGAAATAAGAAGTATAATAGAGTCTTTTTGGGTTCCCTGGAACCTGTTCATTTGTGGTTGTTTGCTCCCACTAATCATGTTAGAATGGAAGGAAAAGTAATATAAATTATTGAATCAATTAATTCTGTGCAGAAGTGATTCCTTCCATGAGCTGCATGCAGGAATCAAGTGTATTCTGGAGGTTTTGAAAAGCAACAATCAGTATTCAGTCACTGAATCTCATCTCTTGCTATGTCCAGCAGCCAATGCCAATGGAAGGGTGTAAGAAAAGGACAAGCACATAATAATAGTTCCTCTCCCAGTTTCCACCTATTACTGTACTCAGGACTCATAGAACCAATGTAGAATATTTGATTCTTCTTCTGTGAATTTGTCCAGTCACTTAGAATTCGTGCAAGTTTCTAACATGCACAACTTTCCATAGCAAATCAATAATTTCATCTTTACATTCACAAAGCCTTGTGCTCAAAGGCTTCGATCTGGAACGTGAGAGACTGTAGGTACACATAAGAGATTTGACAATCCTGTAACTATCTCCACAGCAGACTTGGAGTAGGAGCCATGAGTACAGAGTTCTCATTTATTTGCTTAGCCATAATGTTCTTTTTAATGACAGAGGAGAGTAGAAGGGGATTAAGATTGTCAGCCTTGCTCATCTGGGAAGATGGTAGAGAGGCTTACGGTCTCAGTACAAACCTGTATTTATCTACAGGAATTAGTACAAGTATATGTTCAATATATACAGAAATAAGCAGTGCTGTAGTACAACAGGAAAACATGCCAAGTCTTACTGAAACACTGCATGGAACAGAACGTCTCTCTGCTGTTTCCTTTGACTTCCACAGGGTGATGTTGGACTTCCTGGGCCACCTGGGTCACCACTGTTAGTTGGACCTCCTGGAGCTCAGCTGTTCAAAGGAGAAAAGGTGTTAATTTGTTTTCATGCTCATCTTGGCAAGTACAGTCCGGTGCTGTAATTTTTGCAAGGATGGCATAGGACAATCTATATTTCTGTAATAAACCATCAGCTTCAGCAGAAATCCTGTTGTTCAGCACCCTTCCTACAGTCTTTCAGGAGAGGAGAGCCCTTGTGTAGTTTAGCTCATGTCTTTTAGGGAAGACAAAAAGTGTAGATTTATGCATGTGAATACTTGCATCAAACTAAATAGAGCAGCAAACAAAAAAGAACTACTGTCATGCATGTTCGTAGGAACAAAGCCCTACAAACCAGGAGCCCAGGTTCCTGCAAGTTAAAAGATGCATCTGTCTCACCCCACAGTCATTATGCTGGTTTGATAATGTTAACAGAAATAAAAATCAGTATATAGTCATTTTTCTTGTTTTTCTTCTGCCTAGTACACCTAGAAGAACAGGCCTAGTGCTTCAGAAAATACTATTTAACAGTTGTAATTCAGAACAGGATTTAAAAAAAAAAGTTAAACAGCACATAGGCATGTCCTGCATATTAATATACACAAAAACTTTCCTTGTATTCGTAGGGCCAAAAAGGACTGCCTGGGGTAACAGGATACAGAGGGCCACGTGGACCCAAAGTAAGTTCCCTGTTCCTTGCAGGGGGGTTGGACTAGATGACCTTTGAAGGTCTCTTCCAGCCCTAACCATTCTATGATTCTATGATTCTAAGTAATGTGATTTTTTTTTTTCCATGATGCTGGCAAAGCCCTTTTGTGGATATTAAGTTAATCTTTTAAAGCACAAATTGATGGAAGAAATAACAGCATTTGTGCTGTGAAATTTAATCACCACCTAAATCAGTGTGAAAGCAAAAATATTTCAAAACCTGTTGGTAAACCTTTCTGAGTCTGTTTTATACATACCTATTGAATGTTGCCTGGTATCAGAAGGTCAGTGTTGTTTCCAGTTGGGCTATTGACACATAAGGGACTGGGACTGTGAAGAAAATAGAAGCACAGATGATTTTTTCCTCAAGAAGAGAAATAGAGAAGATCTGTATGTGTTCTTAATGGGCCATGATTTACGTTTCCCTAAGTATGTTAGGGAAGACTTTAACTTGACATTATGAATGTCCTCAAGAGAATACAGGGCAGAGCCATTTGTTTGGAGGAAAAGTTGCTCATTGCTATCTGTTCCACATTTTCTTTTCTTTTTGTCAGCATGATTAATTTAAACATTGGTATGCCAGTAAGGAGTTCCTGGATGCTGAGCAGAAACAGCTACAAAAAAGATTCTGGAGTCTTTATTGCTCTATTTGGAGGAGGAAAATCCACAAACAGGAAACTACCAGATCTCAGAAAAACAGAAGATAAATGAAGACAAAAGAATGAGTCTAGTTTATGTTAAAACTTATTTAGGTTTGTAGGCAGAAGAGAAAAAATGAGGAGCCTAAACATCACATTTCTAAGTTCTAAGACTAGCACTTTTTCAGAAATTCTTTTCCACCTTAAAAGGACCACTGTTACTTAGCACTGGAAAAGGAGACAAAACCAACCTTTTTATATCAGATTTACTTTGAAAAAGATGGGCTTTATATGCTTGCTCCAGTACTGGCTGTCCATACAGATAATAGTACACTTGTTAGTTATAAGCAGCAACTGAGAAATTGACTGATGCAGCCCAAAAGATGGCCAGAGCTTTAAAATAAAATTAAATTAAATTAAACCGCTGAAAGCAGATTAAGCTTGGAGAAGAGACCATAGCAGATTCCTTGCATAACTGAAGCTACATAGGCACTGCTAGTAGTGCTATATGAAGTAAGCCCCAGTGATTAGCCTAGCAAGTGAAACAAGATCCATGAACCTAATATATACAAAACTTATATATACTCATATATACTTTATATACAAAAGCATGCACAAAAAGTAAAACTTTTGGCAAACTTCACTGAGCATCTTGTTTAAACAAAGTATTTTGAATGCTCCAGGGCGTACCTGGGAGAGGAGAAAAGGGTGAAAAAGGCATT